TGTCATGCGCACTTCACGCATGTCACACTGGCGTATGATGACACAGTCCAGCAGATGAGTGTAGCCACTCTGTGGGTGCCTCCAAGTAGCTATATCACGCGCACATAAGGTATACTGTGTGTTTGTGATTCTCAGTACCTGAGTGCAGCGCAGTGAGATCGATTGGTCACAATTCCCATTGTGTGTGACCATGACCTGAGGACTGATTTCGCCTGTCCACACTGCTGCACCACGCCCAATGTGTGCGTTGAAATCACCCAGTAGGAATGGCCGACCGCTCCTCAGCAGACAGTAAAACGGAGGATAACTGAGCGTAAAACTGATCCCTCCTGTCATCAGGATAATACATGGTGCTACTATATGGGCTAATGGAAGAAGCAAATATGCCTCATCCAAGCCGTATGCGTAGGATCATCAATTGCGGCCTGATGTCAGTTGGCATTGCCACCAACTGGCTAGTTAGACGGTCGGATAGTGCAAATCCGATCTCATGTTCACGTGGTGATATGGTGGCGCTTCCCACCCAGTAGAACGTATCACCAGCACAATTCTCATGTATATGGTTGACGGCATCCGGTTTCGGATTTGGCTGTCACGGCGGCCAGCCGAAGGACGCTTGCGCCTACAGAGCGACCATGGTGGCTTGCGCTGCACCACCCACAGCTCCATCCACACCCCATATCGAATGTAAACCCGAAGGAATAAGACCGGGAGGCATGTGGATGGGAGCCACGTTTCATCAACGGAGCCGGCCCACATTGCTTCACAGGCAAACACGAGCACGCTATATTTGGGGAATCAAGCGCACACAAGGCGGTAGCTGGACCGTAGGCCGCTCCATACTGATTGCATGGAATCACAGCTCGAGCTCAGCACGGACACAAGAACTGTGCACCCCATCCCCTCCAGCAACGACCAATTATCACCCAGAGCCAGTAAGGACCAGTTAGTGGGTATCACACAGGTAGGCATTTTATCAACTTGCACATCAAGCGTAGCTAGACCGGGAATATCAAACAATCACGCGAAATGAAAGTAAAAGTTTAATACACCTGTTACAGAATACGGCTATGCAGACATAACTCTTCTCAAAATTAGCATATGAAGTGAGTCGGTCAGCAATGAATCCGCGACAAGTACAAAATTTCCAGAAGTTAGTCAAAAAGTGCTACAAACGCAATAAAGTTAACTAAGATAACCACAGTTAGCGTAAGCAGCGTGGCCGGTTAATAGAAGATTATTTAGATAGGCAGAACAAAGCAAATGAACAAAAAATGAAACTTATCCAGCTTAAAATACCTAGTTTAAGCGCAAGTTGCTTTAGCAAAACTGCGGTGAAGAAGCATCATCAATATATATATATATATATATATATATATATATATATATATATATATATATATATATATATATATATATATATATATAGTTGCAACCCACAAGGAATCCACACTGCTCTTCCGCTACGTTCGGTTCCAAATCCTGACTGATGAAGCGGTTGAGCAGGATTCGAGAAATCACCTTGCCCACACAACTCAGTAAGTTGCTGCCACGTTAATTTGTGCAAAAGTGCTTGTAACCTTTGCCCTTGAACAGTGGTAGCACAGGTGTATCCTTTAGCTCAGGAGGCACCTGATCAATCCACACGCATTAGACCAAGTGCTGCAGCGCAGTCACCAACGCGGGGCGGCCGTATTTCAATACTTTGGGCGGGATCCCGTTGGCCCGGCACACTTGTCGTGTCGCAGGTGAACAAGTGCTCTCTCTTCGTCTCATCCAGTGTCGGCATACCCGCCAGATTTGCTTTCACATCCTGCTGTTTCAGGCCCCTCAAAGTAAACCAGTCAGTCTCTGAATTTTTGTTCAAGAGAGTCAGTGTTTTTACCGAATCTGCCTTATGTCTGCAGTCTGTGTGCACTTAGCGCCTGAACCACCACCGATAAGCGACCTCAGCCGCTCCAACCTCGGTCCATACACCGTCTTCAAGGAGTTAAAGAATTTCTTGTGTTGGCGGCGTTCGGTGCAGCATTCCATTTGCTTCGGCTTCTCCGTCCACCATGCATTTTTAATGCGACGGAGCTCTCGGGTCAGTCGCCGTCGAATTCGCCCAAACTTTTTATTCTTTTCCGAGTTACTGGGGTCTGCCACACGCGCAGTAAATGGTGCATTCTTCTCCGATACCAACGCGCCAATCGTCGCATTGTTCTCATCAAACCAATCAGGTCGCATACAGTTAGCGCGCCCCATGGTCTGCATGGCAGCAGCTGTCACATGGTCGCGAATGTGGTGCCACAGTTAGTCCACAGTGGGTATGCATTCCACATCACACAGCCATGCAGCCACCGCATTGTCCAGCACAATATGTTTCACCGCAGTACCAAGTGAGAACAGGATAATTTTACCCTGATTCACGGCGGGAGTGCAATACATTGATTTACGAAAATATATGTACAGTTTGGTGCGCACCAATTTGTGATCAGTGCCACACTCCATACAGTACACTTCTCATGCGCACTTCACGCATATCACGCTGACGTACGATGACATAGTCGAGCAGGTAAGCGTGACCACTCCGTGGGTGCATCCAAGTTCGTATATCACTCGCATTCAGTGCAAACCGAGTGCTCGTGATCGTCAGGCCGTGAGTGGCCCACAGTGAGAGCAGCCTATCACCGTTCACATTCGCTGAACCAATGCCATGCGCACCGATAACATCTGTCCACACTGTTGCATCACGCCCAACGCGCGCGTTGAAATCGCCCAGCAGAAATAGTCGGTCGCTCCTCGGCACAGATCGTATCACGGAGGAAAGCTGAGTGTAGAATTGATCACGCGTGTCATCAGGATAGCACATGGTCGGACCGTACGTGCTTATAAAAGTGGCAAACTTACCTTATCCGAGTCGTAGGTGCGCAGTCACCAGTCGCGCGCTGATACCTGTTGGTTCACCCAGCAGGTGGCCATGGAGGCGATCGGATATTGCAAGTCCGCCTCCATGTTCACGTGATGCTGAGGTGGCGTTGCTCACCCAGTAGAACATGTAGCCAGCACCTGCTTCATACAACTTACCTTGCTCAGTGGGCCGAGGCACACTGAGCACCGCAATATCGATGTTGTAGTGCGCCAGTTCCATCGCTACCAGTGCAGTAAGTCGCTCGGGGCGCTCACTCGAGTTCCGGTCCAGTAGTGCGTGCATGTTCCAGCACCCGATGCTGAGTGCTTTGCGCGCAAGCATACGATTGCATTGGTCTGCAATCGCACGCGACGTGGCGGTTGTACTTCGGAGGTTTACTTGAGGGACTCCACCCGGAGCATTTGGCTCAATAGCCTGACGCGAAAGGCAGTGGGGAGCAGATCCAACTCGGGAATGTGATTGCAGAGACAGATTGGAATCTGCTTGACGGTCGTCACACAGCCTTTGAAGTATTGGAACGATTCATATATGTTTTGCGATCATAGTACGATACGCACCTGCGACCATGGCCAGACGCAGGTGGGTTTTAGCGGGTTTGCACCAATTTGACCAGGTTTTACCTAGCTTGAGGCGGGCAGTAGCAAACCATTGAACACCCGGAGGTTCCCTCCCACCGTCAGAGACAATGCGTGGCGCTCGTGCTCTACGCCAATCGAGCTGTGAGCTTATAACCCGTAGACCTGCTGTCTCCCATGGCTAGGTTTTACGGGAAGAGGGCCATCGACCACTTCCTAACCTCCGAAGAGGATGGACTAGGGTACTGACAGGGCGCACACATTTGACAGGGGAACGACTCGCGTCCTCAGCCAAAGCCTTCGATTAAAAGTACACCCGAAAGGCAGCGGGTCTAGCACATGGTCAGTTAACTGGCTTATACGGACTGGTGTCCTGGATGGTAGCTAGGAGAAGGGCGTAACCCAACTCCCACCCAGCGGTCGCCACGAGGAGGCGCCCAGGATAGGAGCCCATGGGACAACAGTAGCAGCAGTGGGTAGACCATCTGTCAGGATCTAGTGACCACCAGCCTAAGCGCACCATATATATATATATATATATATATATATATATATCACGTTAGAAATAGTCTCATGAATGGACATAGGATTAACCAAAACCATGGAAATCAATGGAAGATGACAGGCAGAATTGCGACACCATCAATATCCTGGCACAGGAGTTGAAGGCGAGTCACACATTTCAGCTATTTTGCCGTACACGTTGTATTTCGCTGTATTTGTGTTCTTTAATTTTATGGCATTAGGCATCAGGATCTAGACAAGAATGTACAGGAGGTCTTCCACTAGTTTCGACTGCGCATCATATCTCGAAATGCTTCGAACCATCTATACTGTTCGGTTTTTGTCCCTAACTAGGCGGACGTGTGGATGCAACGGCAGCAAGACGTGAAGTCAACAATGCCATATGTTGTCGCCAAGTGAGCGAATGACCACTGCGTGATCTCCTCAAGGCTTGTCTTGCACGAGCGAACAGGACACGATTAGGCAAACACTCAGCTAACACACGCAGGACGTGACAAAGCCATTCTAACTTGTGCAGCAAAATCAGCTTGTTGAAGGAAATTCTCGAATGCCCTAAAACATGATGTCTGGTTTAACCGATGCAGTTGATTTATTGCCTCCACACACGGGCATTTCCGCTCAAGCAACCATTGTCGAAGGCCGAGAGCAAGGGCGTGTCATCCACGGAGGTTGGCCACGACACCCTTCCAGATAGCAACACCGCCTGAACAGTACCATAGTAAACAGGACTCTTTGCCAGGAAGTAGACATGCCGACGCTAAAATGCAACCTTTGAAGAAAATCGATGGGTCCGAAAAGGGATTACCAGCAGAGCAAGAGCCTATAGGGTCACAACAGGTCCCAGTTTAGATGTACATAAAGCGAAGCATCGTCACATAAAATCGAAAGTAAAATAGCCTAAGTAAAACATGAGGGCAAGCGAACACTCAAATCGAGTAATGGAATCAAACTGAGGAGATAAGAAAATAATAGCGAATGAAAATTACCTGTACGGATGATCTGAGCGCAGTAAGTCATGGTATGAGGCTCGACGCAGGTGGATGCCGAAGTGATCTGTAATAGTAGAGGGAGTTGGCGCAGTCAACATGGATGGGGTGGAAAAATAGATAAAGAAAGGAGACGTACCGAATGCGTGGAGGACTCCGGATATATCTTCGATTCTAGAAAATGGCACAAAAAGAAACATGGCGTTTTTAAAACAAAGAAAAAGTGCTAAACCACTAGCAACATTTAATAAACATCGAAAATGTAGATCAATTCAGTTAAAGAACTGAGCCGGGTACGGAAATTCGGTGGATTCCATTGCCACGGATCACATTGCAAGGGTAACAACACGTAATAACAGGAAAAAACTGAGTTTGAGCTCAAATAGAATGTAAAGAAAAGAGAATCAATAAGGATTCCGGAGGCATCTCCTGTCTATTGTGGAAGCTATCTACCTCCGCCACCTCAAACCAGAATTGTGTGTACAAAAACAGTTAATAGAGATTGCTTGTAGCAACCCAACCACCAGCGGATTCTCCAAGCCCAACTTTGCATTCGTTCTCGCTGGACCAAGCGTTGCTCGTGGATCTCAGTGGCATAGTGCTTATGGTGTCAACCATGAGCCACTAGACTCTGAGTTCCGGCCCAACTCAGGCTATCTCGAACTGATGAGTCTCAACCAGGACGAAACCGCGGTCTTCGGGTGCCAGTGTTGGGGTGAGCAACACTATAATGTTTCCAGTTTATACGTCCTTTGCTTCTATTGTGGCCTACAACTTCGGCTGTGATTTCCCCTGTAAATACTTTGCCATCTTGAATAACCCCGTGATTTATTGATTTGTTCATGTTGGAATTAAATATTCTGATCAATACGCAACCCACTCCGGCACATTTAGCACTTTCTCATCATCATGTAATGTTTGAGTCTGATGAGAAGTACCGAAAAGAATTCTTTACAAAAAATTCTGCCTCCATTGATTCATTCAATAAGGATGTCTTTAAACTAATAAGGATGAAATGAAAAATAACAACTTGATGCAAGAAACCGATAGCAAAAATCCCACTGACTGCACCATGTCTGATACTCTTCAACCAATGAGGTGGACCCTCCCGGAGCCCAATTCACGAAGACAGCATGCACTAAGCTGACCAAGTCGCTCAGTCGATTTCCTCATGCCTCTATGCTACGTCATCCACTGGCCACCTTGAGGTTTCAAGTAAATCGGTGTAGCGGGAGCATATAATGCACGCCAAGGAAGTCGGTCAACGGGCATACGGAAAACATAACCTAGCCAAGTTACGATTTGGCAAGCACTAGAGTGAGGCACCAGGAGATTTCTAACCAAAACCATCTGGTGAACCTCAGCATTGCTCACCCGGTGTTCCCCACCAGACACGAACAATACTCCGCAAGCACAGTTAGTCAAACGAGGCCTGGTCTTCATTGCGAACCGACCAGACCTCTGATCTATACAAGGATAACGGCTTTATCGCAGCATTATATACCCTACGTCGGCCGGTGGCCGAGTGGTACGCGCGTCTGGTTTGCAACCATTAGGTCACCGGTTCGAATCCGCGTAGGGGTGGGCGTCCTCGCGGTATACTCAGCCCACGCGCGACTGGTGGTGGTCGCGTAGCAGCGAAGCTCCGTTACGGTGTACAGCTGGCGACTTACTTATATACCCTACATTTCACTAACAGGCCAATATTCCACCTTCTTCATATATGGTTGGGCCTCTGGAAAGCCACACGGGCCTTAACGATACGATCAGTGATGTGACCAACAGGGGTGACACAGCTGCCGAGTTATGTGAACCAATCCACCAGTTCCAGTGACTGTTCGCTGAGAACTAGAACCGGTGGCCCATCGGTCCAGTACTGTTACAGTACTTTGCTCTTTGAAGATGCAAAGCACATGCTGAAGCGTGCATCGACACGCGCCAGTATGTTGTGCAGCGTTTGCACAGCCACTGCATCAGACACAAATAGAGCTAATTCGCCCGCATAATCAAGATCTGACAGTCGGTAGCCTGGCAGAACTTTCACTCCGGTGGAGTCTGAAAGAGCCGAGTCCATTATGATCACTTCGCTAATAAAATTGAAAAGGAGAGAAGATATAGGACAGCCGTGGAGGAATTGAAGAACTCAGGAGACAGCTTCGCGTAGACCCTCACCAGGTATCGGGAGTCACAATTGAGATACTTCAGAATGGAATGAAGTTTAGCTGACAAACGCTTCATGGATAAGCAGTGCCAAAGCTGGCTGGCTTCCTGAACAACCTCCTCGTGGTGCCAGCTGGGTGGTTCGGGATTTTCCAGTTCCAGCAATTGGTTCGGCGGCAGTGTTCCAGGACGCGGTGGGTTTTCGCCTGGCAAGCGTACTCCCTATAAAAAGCCACGTATGTCCGTTTAACAACACTGTGACGTGGCGGACGTGACTCGCCACTAAATAAAGTCACTACCCCTTGCTTCATCCTGGCGAAGCATTGCATTCCAGCAAGTTTATGCTGCAATTTTGGGGAGCATTCGCCCCCTGTTGGACGAAAGGCGTATGAACTGATCAATCAGTCACCGGCTCCCAATGGGCGCGATGCCCTGAATTCGCTCCGCTGCCTTGCGGGCAGGCTATTCAGCCAAAGGCATGGGGTGGTGTCCCCTAGGTCAACACTTAACTTCGGCTTGGGCAACCGGGTAGTATTCCGCCCTCTGACGAAACCATGGACATTACTGTGTTATCTTTTGAATCCCATGGTTTCTGATGGCTTCATGTTTATTCGTAGACCGTTGCACACACACACACACACACACACACACACACATATATATATATATATATATATATATATATATATATATATCGTGCCAAAGCTGGCGCGGTCAATAGAGTCGACGGCAGCTTTCGATTCAAAAAACCCACCCTAGTCGGTCATCTGTATGCGTGTCTCTGCTCTAAGACTTAGCGAAGAGTAAACAGTCGATACAACCACGACCAAGGCAGAATCGAGCCTAGTTTTGAATGATTCTGGTCACAAAGGAATCAGAAAGCCGTCAAAGAATGATACCCGTGAAAAGTTTGGAAGCAACGGAAATAAGGCACACGAAAACTGTGACTCATCTTGAAGATGAGCAGAGCAGTTAATAGTCGCCGGTCTGAAGACACTTCTTTAGTATTCCAAACCGTTTTAAATTGAGAAGCAAGTTCAGTCAACAAAGAGTCACCATCTTTCAGCAATGGTAAATGAGAGTCGACGGGTCCAGGAGCTTTGTTTCGTTCCGAAGCAGCAAGTTCATGTCATGACATCAACATCGCACATCGCTCCAGTTGACTCAGCAAGTGGCAGTGTCGCAACATACATGCTTTCCAAAATGTTCTGCCCAACGAGATACTTGACGAAGCTGAGAATGGATAAACCCTCCATCTTCCTCAGCTACTGTCTCACTAACTGATGGCTTTCTCGGAGCCGTTTCGAATAAACTGGGACAGTACTCGAATGTTACCAATAGCACTGACTTTCTCCATCTCGGAAGGCCCTATCACCCACTAAAGTTCCCAGTAAATCCGAAGTTTCTTTTGTCAATCGTGGTTTCAGAGTGTTACCAACACACTGAAACTCATTGTCCACCGGGACCTGTTTCTGTGTATCGATTAAACTGACCGATGCTTCAGAGATTCATTCAGACTTCGGACGTACAGCAAACGTCAAACGCATTACGTATGGCACACTTGAGACGATTCCAATCAGCGTCCGGCTCATCTAGGTCATTTATCACTGACAACTGGTGAATTGCACAGTGCGAGTTCAAGTAACAAGTAAAAAGGTTAGAAGTTCTGTGCTTCTTTGACGCGGGAAGATTGACCTCTAGGCGTGCGCGTACTAGAGCATGATCGGAATCCAGACATCTGCTGCAAATTGATCAACAGTCTTGAACTGATGTGCACCATTCATAGCTGATAGCAATATGGTCAATTTGGGTCCAGGTCATTGAGGAATTCGTGGGCGCCAAGTGACGCGGTGTAAGCGCTTGTGCTGAAAGGCAATGCTGTTACTATAACGATTGTGGTCGGTGTACAGTGGCATGAATACATCACCATTGTATGTGTGGTGTTCATCGACCCCAAAACCGGCCTCCAAGGTGTTGTTCAGAACTTGAAAGACGACCCACTTGGATATTCGTGTCACTAGCAACAATCGTGATGTCAGTAATTTTGCCATACTGAGAAACGATTAAAGATGATTATATAAATCGTCATTGATATCTGGCGAACTGCATTCAGTAGGAGTATAAACAGAGACTGATATTTCGCGGCTACGCGGGCTAATGATGTCTTGAGGTCACGCGCATCTATTCAAACCTGAGCCGCCGACTTGTGGATCACAAACTAGACGTCTGAACCACTTGGCCAACGGTCGACAGCAGACGCTTGAATGCTGTTTGATCTACGATGTGGATCCCTTATTGGTTGAGATCATGACATAAGTACCCCTAGACATAGGAGGAATCGAGTTTGTTTTTCATGGCCTCCGAGATGCAATGTGAAGCCGTACCCAGGCAGTAAATTGACGGCAGCTTCTGCTGTCGTTCGAAAAAGAGAGTAGTGGCGGTTGAGTTCTGCACAGATTACAGGTTACGAGCATCCATTCAGAGGGAAGGGTTTGTTTCAGTCCCCTTTGTAACCTTGGATGTTAGAACCGGACCTGCGGGATAGCTAGACTGATGGAGAATTGGTTGACCCATTCTGCACATAGATGTTGACAAAACAATTAAACCGACAGAACAGTGTGGAGCATGTTCCACTCAAGAATGGGGCTGTAGGATGGTCGAGTGCAGTCCTGTCAAGATCGACAAAAAGCGCTTCTCATCCAGGGGTAACTACGGGGAAGTAACGCCTCATCGCTATACAATCTGGGGGGAGGGTGTAGGTGTTCTACACCACACGAATTAAATTTATAGCTGTCGCAAAAATGGAGGGAGATCGATTGTCCATTAACCTCCTGCAAGGAAGAGATTAGCATGGCGATTGTACGGTCGGTAACTAGCTAACAGAATGGCATGGACCGCCAGGAGATCAAATGGAAAGAGCAGTAGTAGTATAGTCAGCAGTCTATCAAATAGACTTAGAGCCAAACATAACTATGGAAATCAGTAAAGGAGACAGGTTGAACACGGTATCAGCATCATGGCACATTAACTGAAGGTGAGTAACATACTTCAGCTATTGTGCCGCAATATAAAAAACAACGGAGCACTTTTTCTTTATTTTACACACGCCATTGTTTGTTTTTTTGTTGCCTTTAATCGTTAAGCATTAAGCATTCAAATCTAAGCAGTTATGTACACAGATCCTCCACTGATTTTGACTGCACGTCACATCCTGAATTTTTTCCAACCATAGGCACTTCGTTCTTTGGTACCCAACCGGGCAGACGTGTGAATCCAACGGCAGCAAGACGTGAAGCCAACGATTTCCTGTGCTGCTACGTGATCTCTTCCAGCCAAGTCCTGCACGAGCGAAAAGGGCGCAGTGGGGCAAACGCTCAGCTGACATACCCAGGACGTGACCACGACATCTTAACTGACGCAAAAAAACCAGCTTGTTGAAGGGAATACTCACATTCCCTAAGACACGAGGTTTGACTTCACTGTTGTAAATGTGTTGTTGCCACCACACATGAGCAATCCTCCTCAAGCACCCGTTGTCGAAGACCGAGAGCTGCCGCATATGGTCTACGCGAACTGGTCATGACTCGCATCCATATAGCAACACCGTCCGAACGATGGCTAGATGGATCATATCGGTGAGTGAAAGATGCAATAATTCAAGGTTCAGTAAACCCCTTCGTACACTAAGTGCACATATGTACACTAACTCGTTTGCATTTTTGACAATAAACCATTAAAACATTCACTGCCAACACAAACAATAACCTTTTGGATCAAAATTCTTGCTTATGTACGAGGGGTTAAGTCATGGTACCCCATTCTGACAAAGCCGTGTTGGGAAATTTCAGATGGAAATAACGTAGCGATAAAGTAAACACTTTCAATACGGAAGTGGTCATACCTGATATGGGCGTGTATTCCTCTGGAGATCCAAATTCGAACGTTCTGGGAGACAGATTAATGGATGTGTTTGCGGATGTTTGCTTTGAAATCGCGCTCCCAGTGACATCACTGGAGTTAGATAAGCAGGGTGCCGTTGAATCAATTTCAGATTCAACTTACTTGGAAAGCAGGAATATACCGCTTGATATGGCATCGTTTGGTGCCGAATTTGACGAAGAGTTCTGATCAGTGGATTCCTTCAAAAAGTCTAGCTCAGCTAACAACTGAATGTATTGCGGACTCCGTTTGAAGGCGCCGAAGCATTGGGAATCAGATAAAAGTTCCAAGAGCTTCCAAATGATAAAACAAAAAGGAGATTATCCGATTTGCAAATATCCAACTAAACAGCATGCGCGTGTGAGATGACGGAGACAAAACAAACAACGGTGAAATAACCGAATTAAGCTAAAAAAACAACATGGGAATCCATTAAAATGGGACAAGAACGCGTCGAAAACTACCGTCATGAGCGTACACTCAGCGCACAATGTCAATATGCAAGATTAAGATGGTGATTATGGTGACTAAAGAGATGCCGTAATAGGCGAGCTCAAGAACTTACCTTAGACTCGATGGCAATGAACGCCTTGGGATCACAAACACCAAGATTTGTGGTGAGATTACGTAAAACCTGATGAACTAAAGGTTCCGCGGATGGAGGAAGTTGTTTTAAAAGGTTGCTGCACAACAGTACGCCAAAAGCTTTGAGATCATCTAGAGCAGTCGCTGGCTCTGACAAATCCACAGTAGGGTTGGAAACAGAGACATCGTTCCGCGTACTCACAGCGCCGTCCAATCCCGTAGACTCCTCGGTGGATGCAGCGAGGTCGTTAGTGTCTGCCACGGTGTCGGTCCCGTTCTGACAGTCAACAGGTTTCGAACTTAGCCCCTGATAGTTAGGATGTTCGATAGCGTCAGCCGAGGAAGAGAAACAATCTGATCGGGCAAAGCTGTCGTGATCGAGCAGTAAGCTTTCAGCATTTTCTCTATAACTCTGCGAAAAGAGGACACAAGATCATTGGCGCCAGTGCAAAATAAAACGGATGAGAACAATCTCTTTCGATACTATGAAAAAAATTGGATCAGAGCGTACATGCTGGTTAAAGATAAATTACTCAGGGTGTCTAGTCACTAGTGCCTCCACTAAAGGGTCGTAAATGTACTTAGATCGCTTTTTGATGAGCTTATATTTAATTTCGCTAGTACGATTTGTCGTTTCTCACCACGGTAATAATGAAATAGAGTGAACGAGCTCCATGCAATGAACTGATTTACCATTCAACCCAAGAACCTTGTTTGAAACAAGTAACAGGCAGTCTAGAGAGAATGAACAGAGGTTGTTCTAAGTCAAAGACACGTCAAAGACGAAGGTACGTGGTTAACACATGCACACATACAGCGGATGCGAGAGGACTGATGCTGTTAACCAAAAGTTATACTGTGTGCGCTACCATCATTAGAAGAATAATCAAGCAGAGTGGTAGAAACCTGATAAAAGTGAAATCCAGCATAAAGAAGTAGTGTGCCAGCTGGGACGAACGAGCTGGTCCACATATGCAATGATGCCGAAAGAACTGGGTGGTGGTGATTCACATAGGAGATGCGGTAAGATGTGAAAATACGGAAGCAATTTGCACAAGCCATCCAACATACAGAAGCAATAAACAGAACACGGCGAACATCTATGAGGTATCAGGACTGAAAATGACAGAAAGAGAGAAGCATCAGTTGTCGTCAATAAAAGAGAGCGTTCGCAAACTCACGACGCAGTTGAGGTAGAGACGCAGTAACGAGTCCTTGTCGATGGAACTGAGGAAATCTGAAGAAGAAGAAGAAGAAGAAAGAAGATAACAGTGCAAAATGCCAGTGTGTGTGATGAATAAGGGGCAAGCAGAAGTAAATCTCACCTAGGAAGCTGACCAGAGCGACACTTTTAGACATGACTTCATCGAATGACATGTCATAGAGTTGCGTTCCTGGTTGTAATCGATAGGCAAGATAGTTTTCGGGCTAATAAAAGAAACTGAAAGTGAAGTCTGTTTCTCATGAAGAAAAGCAAACCGTGACAGAGCAGGATAATACATACCCTTTCGATGACACCCTCCTTAATCTGCTGAAGCCTTCTATCACAGACTTTTCGTACGTAATCCAAGCTGCCCAACTGAGCCTTGATTGACGCATCTACGGAAATAAGAAAACGAACCGTTACATAATACACTAAAATAAATTGTGAAAAGATGCAGTGTGCTCTGTCACAAATGATGAATTAGCATCAGCCTGCAAAATCAAGTGCTAAAAGCGCACTGTCAAATAAAAAGATACCTCAATAAGCAAATTCATACGAACATGCTGGTAGATAAAGACGAAGTATTAAAGTCACAGACAATAGTAATAAAAAAAGCAAAATAAAAAGGTCGTATAAAAAACAAGGGTTATCAGCAACATCATACCTTTCCTGACCGCAGAAAACACATCAGTCAATGTGCTGCAAAACAAAAAGTTGGGACTTACGAAAAAGGCGAGATAAACAACATGGCGGAATACAACATGCAGATTTGGTTGGCGGCATCTGGTTTCGAATTTACCTACCAATGTGGCCAGCCACAGGATGCTTGCGCCTATAGAGGGATCACGGGTCGCTTACGCTGCAGTACCCACACCTCAAACCACACATCTCACATCCTGTGTAAAACTGAAGGAATAAGACCGGGAGGCATGCGGATGGGAGCCACGTTTCATCAACGGAGCCGGCCCACACTCCTTCACAGGCAAATACTAGCACGCCGTATTTGGGAAATCAAGCGCACACACAAGGCGGTGGTTGGACCGTAGTCCGCTCCACACTGAACGCATGGAACCACTCTTCGGGCCTAAAAAGCCCACAAGGAAGGTGCACCCCGTCTTTTCCAGCAACGACCAACTGTCTCCTGGAGCCAGTATGGACGAGGTAGTGGGTAATAGACAGGTAGGTACCTTGTCAACATGCACATCAAGCGCAGCCACAACTAGGATGTCAAACAACAGCCAACCACTAGAAACCGCATTATCAAATAAAATATATCAGTTAAAGCATACGGCTTTGCAGACATAACTCTTCTCAAAATTAGCATACGATGTAAGTTGGTTAGCAATGAATCCACAATAAGTACACAATGTCCAGAAGTTACTCAAAAATTGCCACAAACGCAATAAAGTAAACTAAGATAACCACAATGAGCGCAAGCAACGTGTGCAGGTGAATAGAAGATTATTCAGATAGGTAGAACAAACCAAATAGTGGAATGAAATTTATCCAGCTTATAAAGACTGTATATGTATAGTCTATATTAGCTATCACTACACTTTATTTTGTTTGTTCTACCTACCTGAATAATCTTCTATTAACTGGTCACGCTGCTTACGCTAATTGTGGTTATGTTTCATAACATTTTTGTGTTTGTAGCATTTTTTGTGTAACTTCTGGACATTTTGTACTTGTCGCGGATTCATTACTAACCAACATCCTTCATATGCTAATTTTCAGAAGAGTTATGTCTGCATACACGTATGCTTCAACTGATATATTTTATTTGCTATTGCGGTTTCTAGGGATTGGCGGTTGTTTGACATCCTATTTGTGGCTGCGCTTGATGTGCATGTTGACAAGGTGCCTACCAGTCGATTACCCACTACCTCGTCCATACTGGCTCCAGGAAATAATTGGTCGTTGCTGGAGTGGACGGGATGCACGGTCGCTGTGGTCATGCTAGACTTGAAGTGTGATTTCATGTACTCAGTGTGGAGCGGCCTACGGTTCAGCCACAGCGTTGTGTGCAACTGATTCCCCAAATACAGCGTGCTCGTGTTTGAATGTGAAGGAGTGTGGGCCGGCTCCGTTGATGAAACGTGGCTCCCATCCGCATGCCTCCTGGTCTTATTCCTTCGGGTTTACATTCGATATGGGGTGTGGATGGAGCTGTGGGTGGTGCAGCGCAAGCCACCATGGTCCCACGGTAGGCGCAAGCGTCCTTCGGCTGGCCACCGTGACAGCCAAATCCGAAACCGGATGCCGTCAACCATATACATGAGAATTGTGCTGGTGATACGTTCTACTGGGTGGGAAGCGCCACCATATCACCACGTGAACATGAGATCGGATTTGCACTATCCGACCGTCTAACTAGCCAGTTGGTGGCAATGCCAACTGGCATCAGGCCGCGATTGATGATCCTACGCATACGGCTTGGATGAGGCATATTTGCTTCTTCCATTAGCCCATATAGTAGCACCATGTATTATCCTGATGACAGGAGGGATCAGTTTTACGCTCAGTTATCCTCCGTCTTACTGTCTGCTGAGGAGCGGTCGGCCATTCCTACTGGGTGGTTTCAACGCACACATTGGGCGTGGTGCAGCAGTGTGGACAGGCGAAATCAGTCCTCAGGTCATGGTCACACACAATGGGAATTGTGACCAATCGATCTCACTGCGCTGCACTCAGGTACTGAGAATCACAAACACACAGTATACCTTATGTGCGCGTGATATAGCTACTTGGAGGCACCCACAGAGTGGCTACACTCATCTGCTGGACTGTGTCATCATACGCCAGTGTGACATGCGTGAAGTGCGCATGACACGTGTACTGCGTGGAGCTAAATGTGGTCATAAGTTGGTATGGACCAAATGTTACAAACATTTTCACAAATCTATGTATTGCCGTGAACCGGCGTAAATTTAATTTGTGTTCCCTATGTACTGCTGAGAAAAGGACGGAACCGGAAAATACGATGACTACCCGTCTTGTCCATGTCGAATCCATAGCCTCAGTGAGCGACTTGTGGTACCACATCGGCGGACAGGTGACGGCTGCGGCCGAAGAAACGATCGGGGGCGCAAACTGCAAGCAACCCGATTGGTTTGAGGACAGCAGTGCGACCATTGGCGCATTGGTGTCGGAGAGGAATGCAGCATTTGCTGCACATGTAGTCGACCCCAGTGAGTTAGGGAAGAATAGTCAGTTTCGCGATTGACTCGAGAGCTCCGTCGCATGAAGAATGCATAATGGACGGCGAAGGTAGAGCAGATGGAATACTACGCCGAACGCCGTGAACATCAGGCGCTCTTTGACTCCTTGAAGTTGGTGTATTGACCCAGCTTGCAGCCGCTGAGGACATTGGTGGGGCGTTGCTTACGCATAGACAGTAGACATAATGCAGATCGGGCGAACGCACTTCGACTCTCTCTTAAACAACCCCTCAGAGCTTGACTGGGTTACTTTGCACGCGTAGCAACAACACGAGATGATGACGTGCGTTAACGGCGCTGGATGAGACGCAACGAGTACTTGCGTAGCTGCAAAACAACAAGTGTCTCGCAGCTGACGGGATACCTCCATTAGCTTCGGAAGACAGCGGACCCGCGTTGCTACGTGCGCTGCACCACTTGGTACAACGCGTAAGGTTTAACTAACAGGCGCCGGCTGACTTGACTCATGCCCTTGTCGTACCACTGCACAGGAGCAAATCATCATCCATCATCGATATACGTTAGCACCAGATGAGAAACACACAGCTAATGTGCCGCAATACAAAATAGCACGAGGTTAAACATTACAGACTACAAAAGCTGAACAAGGTAACGTAATGTTTAACATCGCATTATGTATACGATTTCAGATAGTCAGTGGAAGAGTAAGTTAAAGGAGAGGGACGAAGTGACTCACTATTGAGGTCGGTTCTTCGCCATGTCAGCTAGTGTATCCAACCAGATGTGTTCATCGTCCTACGATCCCCAGCTCGGTAGTCAGGAAACACCAGCCGAAGCCAAGTTCGAAGTGAGGGACCCCATTCCTCTTGACCAAGTCATCGCTCGGCCTCCCCTTCTCTTCTTCCATCCAGATCCCGGGAGCGCAAACAAAGCACCATGCGGGGTCAATGTGCTGATATGCGCAATACATGGTCCAGCCATCATCGCCTGGTGCGTGTAATAATGGTGCTGAGCCGTTCACTCGCTCTTCCCGCACCAAATCCGTGACGCTGAATGCGCTCTTTGCTCGCGTTGTGTTGCCACCACATATGTGCAATGCTACGAACGCAGCGATGGTCGAACACAACAAGCCTCCTTGTGTCTGTCGACTTCATAGGCCAGGTTTAATAGCCGTATAGGAGAGTTGAACAACTTCAAGGTCGTGCCTAGCGAACGTCGTTTCAATCTCTTCGTCAACGGTGAGGAGGAGGAAAGGTGACAGCAGACAATCTTGTTTCACACTGCTGGAAATATTGAAGGGCGGCGAAAGTTTGCCTTAAACGCTCACTCTGCGCGGTCAGCGCTCTTATGACATATTTATCGGGTATACTTTTCCTCATTACATAATCCGAATGTGCACATCAACCAATCAAATCGTGGGTCCCTTCGATGTCTAGGAACACGAGTACGATGGGTCGCCAACAAGTATGGCTGTGCTCCAACGATTGTCGTAATGTGAAGATGTGATCAATACAGCCCCGACTTCGATGAAAGCCAGCCTGCTCCTCCCGAATCTGGCTTTTTCGTGTGTCAGTTAGTCTCTGGAGGATGACAGAGGCAAGCAACTTAGAGGCGATTGGGATCAGACTGATTCCTTTATGATTGCTGCATTCCGAACAGGAGCCCCTTTGAAAAGTGTGACTATATGGGAGCAACTTTTCTGTTGGAATAACCTCCTGCTCCCACTGATTCACTAGTACGTTGTACGAATCGTCCATAAGAGTTGGTCCGTCGAGTTATAAAGTGGCATACCTAGAGAAATGGGACTATGACGGAGCGGTTGCAGACTGCTGGGACAATTTCCTGCTTTCACATCCACAAGAGCACAACCCCCGGAATTGAAGAGAGTTGAATGAATTCCATCTGCTCAAGCGGCCTTGTCCAATTTCAGCCATCTGATCTTGTGTACGATTACTGCGCATGAAGACGAATCCAAGGAAAAGGCAAGGAGAATAGGGGATAAATGGCCAATAGAGAAGCTGGTAACTCCGACTGATTAAATTGCTTTTTATGTTGGTCGGTGGTCGAGTGGTCTGTGCGCACGGTTTGCAACCATAAGGTCACGGGTTCGAATTCGCAAAGATGTGGGCGTCCTCATGGCATACCCAGCCCACGCGCGACTGCTGGTGGTCGCGTGGCAGCAAAGGGCCGTTACGGTGTATAGCTGGCGATTT